CTGTTTTTTTTCCTTTCTGCCGTGTCACTTTCGGCACCACGGACACCCTATTTATTTTTCTTGAAAGGCGTAAAATTACTGTTTCTGTCAAAGGAGTCTTGTAGCTTTAAGGAGCATGTATGACTGCTGTTTCTTTTCACATCCAACTCGGTGAATCGGGGGTTTATTGCAACCGAACAAGACTTGGTGAAAATCTTAATGGAGATGGTTTTCATGAGCTTTATTTTGTTTCTGTGGAGATTAAATGTGTGTTTGTGTTTCAACAATCTGTGAGGTAAAATAACTGTTGTCTGACTGGATTCTGGTGGCTTTGAAAAGAGCATATTAATCATATGTTTATATAATGTTTATATAATTAGTGGAAGTAGTCGTCGTGACGCCACCCATTGGTTTGTGGACTGAGGTTTTGAAGCCTCCAGTTTGGCATTTTGGCCGACGCCATCTTGGATTTTTGCAACCAGTGAACGGAAGTGACTGTATTTCGACTGCCGTGGAGTGACGCTGTGGTAGAGACGTCGTATACGGCTCTGATAGCCACCTGTCAATCACAAGGTGGCCTCGCCCTATAGAATACCCTGCTTTATGGTCCATTTTACTCTCAATATGACCATAATTTACTAAATGAACATCATGTTGTATTGAAGAATAGAGATTGAGACCATAAACTTTACAATGTTCACTGAGGTAATAAATCAAGAGAGAAGTAGTCATTTTCCCATAGACTTCTATACAATTGGACATGATGGACATTAGTTGCTGCCTGGCGTCACACAGCATCCAACATTGGCGTGTCCACCTGGGTGTCATGTTTCCGTCACTGCCGATCGCAGCTGGAGTTGATAAATACCTGTGATTTCTGCAGAGTAATTCTTTCTTGGAATAAATGCCGATCATAACCTTCCCCACTGAAGACAAAAGCCAGACATTAGGGGGTGTTGGTGGGTCCTACACTGTAAAGGACAGTCTGATCAGGGTCTTTGTTTGTTGTGCATCCATATGCACCATATGCTGCACGATGCTGAATGGCCCGATCTTGTGAGCGGAGATCCAGATCGAGTGGACTGGCCTCCTTCTGTAACTCAATGCAGCGTCAGACGGACACGATGAGCCGATCGCAGCCGCTCACATTTCCGCCACTGATCCCCTTTAAAAAATTCATGACCCTTCCACAGTCCGCCTGATGCCCTACATGCCGGTCTGTTCTCCCTGTCCTGTCGATGGGGAAACCATTGTTAGCTGCTTACAGAGGAACTAAATGATTTCTCTGATGGATTCTCCCACACTTCCCGCCTCCTAAACCAACCACTGTGACACAGTATGTTGGCTGTACATGTGTCAACATATCATTTATGTAATCATTGACTTGGGGAGTTATTTTTTAAATGTTATGTCCCCAACACCTCTTTTTGAAAGCTCTCGCATGCTGAGAGTTGGGGTAAAGGCTTTATCTTCATTTCTACATTTTCCACAGCCGCTGGTTCCCACGACTCCGGCTCACTAAAGCTTGACTTTTAACACTTCCAGCCCCAGAAGACTGCAGCTTCATGTTGCACGTCGGGAAAAAAATCGGACTTTTTGAAAATGCCTCGCTCAGCTCTACAGCGTGAACACTAAAGAATCTCCACTTTTTCAGCTTGATCCTTTTATTCGTTATCGATCTGTATTTCACGTCGCTATTATTTGACAATTCATCAGTTGTAACTTTAATTCGTCAATTTGTTGTAACTATACTTTGTTTGCCAGTTGAATCAGCACGATGACAAAAATGAACGAAGCATTCAAACACCTGCTGAAATTCATTTTCAAATGATGCAAAACTACGCAGACTCAATATCGTTATGAAGAAAATAATGAGGTCCTCAACCAAAGCCCAAATCAATACATATTCAAAGCACAAATATGACCGCAGAAACCTGCATCTAGTTAGCCCACAATCGGCTCACAAGTGGTGATTGAGAGGGATTCTTCTTTTTATCGGTCCATACATTGTTTTTTGTAGGGAAATCCTATTTCTTTAATGCTTTGTCAATAAATCTACTCCTCAAGTCCTCATTAAACGGGCAGTTTCTGAAAGGCTTCTTGTGTCATCTCAGTTTCTTAAAATAAAGCATAATTTGATGTGTCAACACATTGTGTTGTGTGTGTGTTCCTACAGCCGCTTCTAGAGGAAGTTCTAATAAAAAGTGCTTTTCGTTTCATTTCTACAAGTGTTTGATTTGTGGTGGTCTGTCTGTGACCGCTGGCTTAGACTCGATTGCGTTCAAAAGCAAATACATTGGTTTTGAATTATATTTTCACAACTCTTTTTACTGCTGTGGTCCACTGTACCATTACCTCCTCATGCCCCCACATCTTCTTCTCACTTTCGCTCTTTCTTTTCCATTCTTTAACCCAGATTCTGTTTCTTTCTTGAATGGGCTGCTGCGGTTTGTGTGTGTGTGTGTGTGTGTGTGTGTGTGTGTGTGTGTGTGTGTGT